ACGCATGACTTACCTGCAGGTTACTATCATCGTACGACTGAACCGGATGACATCGCGGAAAACAGTTGTAGAAAACTACTGCTTGAGAAGCCATGAGCGACTGTGCTATTGGTTTTTTGGTGTTCATACCTTATGCAAAAGGAAAAATGTTGATGAAACTATATGATATATTGATTAACAGCAGGAATAAAGAATTAAGTCAAATTAATTATAAATGATAAATTTAAAACAGCAGGCAGTGAGATCTAAATAGGAATTAGGTTTTTGCAGTAACTGAGTTATGAGAGAACTCTTAGGACTTATTGCAGACTTGATGCTCCTTCTATTATCTCGCTTAAATAAATTCCTATGTGATGGGTAATCTATCCATTCATGTTGAATATAGACATGCGCGAAATCATCATGATGAATAACGTTTCGCACGCTACATAGATATTGAGGAGATCTAGACGTAGATAAATTGTCCCCAGTGAAAGAAGATCGAGATCAGTTGTAAACATTACCAACAAGCAACCAGCTGCAAAGCTGAACGCAGTTTAGAGAGGAATACGAGCATAAGTAGCTGCGCTCATACCATAATTACTAAGGAGGCAAACAGTTTGGAATGCCAATGGATCTGCCTGAGCTTACTTACGAATGACTACCTACTGGAATTGCAAGAATCGAAAGTAAACTCTCAGGCGGCGATTCACTGATAAGCTTTCTTTCTATGGCAGTGGAAGACTGCGTCAGTGGACGACCTGATTTGTGTATGCACATGTTTTTGCTTAAGGTGAGGCCTGACTGAACTAGAGAGCGCACCCCGAGAACCGCCGCATCTAGCGCAACAAGTTCATTTAAGCGTACCTGACATGAGACTGACAAGGCTGGCCACCACAAATCCAATCAGCATGGCAACAGATGTCAACCAAAGGAAGGACATATCGTAGAAACTGAATCCTCGGTCCTGCAGTTGGGGAAGTGAGATGGGTGCCACCAGCGTCGACATATTGGGCGCTAGCGTTGTAGTACCAGGAACAAGACAGGCCTCCGCTAACGGTGGCCGACCGGGCACGTCAGCTATCGTGTTTCTCAGTATGCCCCCAATGCATATCCACATGGTTCCTACCACGCTGCAGATAAAGCCTGTAACGGCCCCCTGAAAAAGACAAAGTTTACAGTCAGTAGCGGTCGAGGTATGCTTAACAGCTCGTAGTAATATAATACTAATAATAACTACAGTATGATGAGTGCTGCATGAAATATTCCGCAATTTGGAAAAGACAGGTAATAACTTGCAAACCAACATTGGGTAGGGTTGCAATACTGCTTATCATGCAGCCCAATTTCAATTATTTTCAGTCACGCCAGGATGCCGACTCAGCGCTGAGCTTCTATCTGACCGCTGCGAAAAAGATGATTATGTAAAAAATGGCTGCTTAAATAGTATGCATTTTTATTATTGACTTTGACTGCTATTATGAATTTAAATATATTTTATGGAAAGCAGGCACGAAAAAATCCTCTCTTGTACTTATTTGATAGAAAAGTATGCCTTCTTTAAATTTTATTCTTAAAGAAAGGGTTTCCCTCGGTTTTGAAAAGTTTCTTAATTGCCGAATGATTTTGAAACCTACCAAATGCTAGAACTGAATTCAAGTTTTTCCGACTGAATGCTGTGTTCATCCTGTTTAAGGAAATGTACGTTCTTGCCTATAATTTGAGGAAGTGGATGCGTAGCTCTCAGAATTTTGCAATAAACATGGATCATGCTGTATATATCGGGGGCAGTACTAACCGAAGAAAACCCTTGCCTTAAGAATAAAATTTGAAGAAGGCGTAATTTGCTATCAAATACATACTAGAGGGGATTTTTT